TTTATTAATAAGATTTAGTAAAATAAAATTTCCTTAAGCTCTACTATTAATTATTACTTAGGTTTTATTTCTATTAATAAGGAGGTTAACTATAAAGTAACTTATACTACTAATATCTATAGTATATAGAGACTAATTAGATCCTTATTAAAGTATTAGTCTTAGTTATAATAATAGTTATTATTTTCTAAACTTCCTTCCTTTTATATATTAATAGTCCTTTTATTAGACTTATTATTAGAGCTTTAGTAATAGTTAGTTTATTTACCTACTATATTAATTAGATTTAGGCTTAATAAATTATTCACTTATATATAGTTTCTATTATATTCTTATTATATTAGATGTATATAGATAATATAGGTATTTCCTATAATATATTCGTTTTCTTTAGGTCTTTATAGGAGAATACTATTAGACTCCCTTATTATAACCTACCCTTAAAGCTCTTCTTTATAGTAGGGTTCTTCTCCTATATTTAAGTCTAGACACTACTTATACTTAATCTTTTTTAAAAGGTGTTTTTTATAATAACTATATATATATAATACTTATAAGATTTAGTAGTATAATAAGTATATTATAATAGTTTTTAAATATTCTAGATCCTCTAGAATATTATTAGGTTAGTCTTAATCTATTTAGATTACTTTTTATAGTATCTCTAGATTAATAATTTTATAGTCTTTAATTAATATAATTTCTTACTATTTATTCTTTTAGAGTATAAAGTAGTTCTTTAACTTAGTATATCCTATTTCCTTAGAGTATATCCTAATAAAAGATACTATAGGAGGTTCTATTAGATCTTCTCTATTATAAAGTTCTTCCTCTTTATTTAGTAGTAGTTAGGTTTTAAAGTCCTAATCTTTATCTAAGTGTATATTATATTCTACTTATTAATTAGTATTTAAGAAATATTCTTTACTATTAACTATACTAATATTATAAGTTAGTAGGTTACTATAGTTTATTATATTTAGTCTATAATTTTCTTTAACTAGTTTCTATTACTTCTTAAGTACCCTACACTTATTTATAAAGTGTCCTAGCTTTCTATAATTATAGTATATTTTATTAGATTTAGTTTAACTCTTATATATAATATTAAGTTCTATAGGGCTTAGATATATTCTATAAACTATAGATCCTCTATAACATCTACTAGTATTAGCTTATAATAGTAATAGGTGGTTTTATTATTTAGTACCCTATCCTCTATATTTAAGTTACTTAGTATATAACTAATTATTAATCTTAATAATCTTTTTAATAAATATATTAAAGTTATTAGGTTAGTCTTCTTTAGTAATCTTATCCTTTATATCTTCTTTTAGTCTATTATAAAAAAGTTCTATTTAGTTATTATTATCCTAATTAATATAGTTAGTAATATATTTAAACTCTTATATATAGTACTAAGTAGATTTAGTCTACTTTAGTAACTTAAGTTTATATATTATAGTTTAAATCTTATTTAAGTCTTTAAATATAGTTTATAATGCTTCTTTAAAATTCTTATATTTTATAAAGATATATATAGTATTATTATTAGGTTTCTTATTATTAAAATAGTCCTAAAGAGTTAACTCTTACTATTCTATAGCTTTACTAGTAAGAAGGTTTCTTATATAAAGGATCTTTATAGATTCTTTAGTAATAGAGTTATTAACTCTAAAATAGGCTTTTACTTAAGTTAAGAAAGTATAAATATCTCCTTTAATTCTATTAAATATATTAAGTTTAGGAAACTTTAGTATTATTACTTTTAGTTTAGGTAGTATAGTAGCCTTAAGCTTTATTTCTTCTAACTATATATAAAGGTACTTAACCTTAGTATTAAGGTTAGTAATTTTAACTACTAGGTTAGTAACTATAGTTACTAGATTAGTATCTATAGTTATTAGGTTAGTAGCTACTACTACTATATTAGTATTCTTACTACTAGTAGTAGATATTATAAAGGTTAACTATTTATAATCTTAAAAGTAACTCACTAAATAGGACTAATTAAAATATAATACTAGCTTAATCCTAATCTATAGTTAGTTTACTTTTTAAGTAGAGAGTTAGTTTAAATATATAAAGTATATATAAATAGTTATTATAGTATAAGTAATATTAGAAGATATCTCCTAATAGTAGAACTATTACTTAGATTAATTAGTAGAGATTTAGACTACTTAGTTATAAGAATACCTCTTCTTTAAGTACTTATCTACCTCTCTACTATAACTCTATATTAGAAGGCTTAACCTTTAATCCCTTAGATCTTATTCTTAGATTAATATAGCTTAATAGCTTAAGTCTTTAATCTCCTAAGGAGATTATATAATCTCTTATCCTTTTAGTAACTAGTGTAATAAGCCTTCGCCTTACCTTACTTAGCCCTGCCTACACGTCTTATAGTATTTATAATAAGTTAGTAGTTAATATAGTGAATCTCCTTAAGAATATTAAAGAGTAAAGCCTAGTTAGCTAAGGTAAGGGGGCGGCCTAAGGCTATAGTAGTAAAAATAATAAAGATAGTACTAGTATTATTAATAATAGTAGAAGTGTAGGGGCGTAATAGGGTAGAGGTAGGGGTAGTAATAGTAATAGTTACTACTAGGTTAGTAGTACTACTACTAGATTAGATCTAGTTAGTAGCCACTTTAATAGTAATACTATTAGTATTATAATAGGCCTAAGTTATAATATAAGTAAAGTATAAGAAGTCCTAGTATTCTAAGACTACCCTTAGCTTAAGGCTAGGGTACTCTAGTAGCTAGGCCTAGAGGGTAGTAGTAATAGTAGTAATAGGGGGTATAACTTAAAAAGATTAATAGTAAGAGTAATATAGAAAAGGACTAGACTTATAGTAAGGTACTATATATAGAGTTAAATACACTTAGTATAAATATAACCCTTACTTATTAATTATTAAAGTTAGTAAAGTTTAGGATTATATTAAGAATAGTATATACTAGTAGACTAAAAGTAAGTAACTATACTAGTAGTTTTAGTGTAGGTAATATAGTAACTATAGAGGGTCTTATAGGGCTTACTTTACTTTAACTCTAGTTTAGTCTTATATAGGGTTAATATAGACTTAATACTATTAATAGGGGTAGTATATTTATAAAGCTATAATAGTAAAAGGATAGACTAAAACTAAAATAGAGTAGACTTACTATAGTAAAAGAAGTTATTAAGTGTTATATAACTACTAAGGGGTTAGAACTAAGTTTAGTCTAAGGGTAAAAGGAGGAAAGTACTTATATTCTTTATAAGTATAGAAATAAAAGGCTTCTTATAAATAGTTAGTTTTATATAGAATATAAGTAAACTAAGGATAGTAAAAAGAAGGAGAAATAAAAGTAAATAAAGATAAAATAGTATAATAATAAAAGTAAATATATAGAATTAAAGAGACTAAAAAAGAAAGAAGAAAAGGAATTAGAAGATAAAAGTATTATAGCCTTTATATACTTACTAACTAATAATAGATTAACTAGATTAACTAGATTAACTACTAATAAAGAATAATAATAGTAAATTAACTATTAAGTTAGTTAGTAAAAACTAATATAAGACTATACTACTATTAGGGGGGTGACTATAAATATACTAAAGATAGGCCTTTATATAATATTTATACTAAAATATAATAACTAGTAGGAGATATAATAAATAGTATAGTTAATATAAATAATAAACACTTAAAGAACTATACTCTTATATAAACTAAAAATAGTAAGTACCTTAAGTATAAGTTAAATACTTACTTACTTAAAGATATAAATAACTATATTCTTTTATAACCCTTAGATAGAGATTATAAACCACCTCCCCCCCCCCCCTAATAATAAAGTAGAAGATATTAGAGAGGGGGAAGGAGAAGTAATAGAAAGGATAGGACTAAAAATAAAAACCTAGGGATTAAGAGAGGGGCCTACACTAGACCCTACTAAGAACTAATATAGGGCTAACTACCTATAGTAGAAGTAAAGGTTTTCCTCTAGGGACTCTAGTTTTTCTTTTACTATTAAACTTATAGAGGTACTAAATAGGTAGACTAGTCTAATTAGTATAATATAATTAATTAATTAAAACTAATAATAGTTTTTTTTATTTTTTCTATTTTTAGTATTTATATAACTACTTTTTTAATTATTATTTAGATTATTATTTTAAGAATAAAAAAGGAGGTTTACTTTAAGGTTATAGTAGTCTTAGTATAGTATAGTACCTACTAGTATTTATACTATATTTTCTTTACTCTATTTTTATACTTTTTAAAGATTAAAAATAGAAGTTTATTTATAAGTTTTTAGTTAATTAATTATTTTAATTAAATTATTCTTATAGTAGACTTATTATAGTTTATTTTAGTTAAAAGGTTATATTTTAATATTTTCTTAATATTATTTTAATTATTATAACTACCTTTATTAATATAGCCTTAAACTAGTATTATATAGGGGTAGTTATAAGTATTAATTTATCTTTCTTAAGTTCTTTTCTAATTTTATTAGTAGATTAAGCTTAGTATAGTTATAAGCTAGATTCTTATTATAAAGTTATTAAAAATATTACTATTAACTACTTTATAAAAGTATAGGTTTTTTCTTTAAGTCTATTTAGTTTTTTTTTTTTTTACTTAATACTTAAATATATACATAAAGACTAAATAGATAAAATATTTAATTAACTATAATAATAAATAAATAAATAAATTATTTACCTTTAAGTGTTAGTTTTATATTATTTAAATTCTATTAAGATTATCTATAAAGCCTTATAGTTAATAGTTATAATCACAATGCAGGTGCTAGCGGGTGGGTGACCAACAGTAGCTATTAGCTACATCATTCCACTAAAGACAATATTAGTCATACAACACAACACTATCGACTCGTTCCCGAATCACCATACCACCGTTTACCCGAGTTATCTAAACCGCGCCCACTTCCATTACACTGCGACTACTTCGATAACCCGTCAATACTGCCGTGAATATGACTACTAACGATGCCCCTATTGAGGGCTTCACCAGAGACCTGGAACGCGGTCGCGACGATAATACCCCTCGCCCATCTACCGTCTCTGCCAGCGATGGCATTGGCTCCGCCCTGTCCTCGACAAACTCCTCCATCATGGGCGACGACATCCAGGGCGACCTTGGCGAGGAATGGGGCGCTCGCCACCCGTGCTACCCCCATCTAAACCCCCACGTGCCCGTCAACTCGGTGGAATTCGCGACGACCCGGATCATCCGGGTGCGCCGCGACTGGCTCCTGCATGGCGACATCGCGCCGGCCTTCTCGAACCTTTACCCCGAGATCCTCGACCCCGCCGGCATCTCAGAGCACGAGTTCCGCAAGGTGATTAGCAAGCTCAATGCCGAGCTGGGCGAGACTTTCAACCCGTACTCCGGGCGCAACATCGTCGACAGCGTCATGGGGGCTGTCACCGGCTGGCTGTGGGATGACCTGGGTATGACGGCGTCCAAGAAGAAGCTGGTGGCCCTGGAGAAGTGGATTGAGCAGTGGAATGCGGAGATGCAAAAGTCGATGGCGACTGAGGAAGGTGGGCTCGTCGCCCCCAAGATTATCTCCCTGCGGCAGACCGGATACATGACAGTATGTTGCACTCTGCAAGACGCTATATGGCAATATAGGCGTGTGCTTACTACGGACAATTAGCTCGACATTCGAATACCGGATCCCGAAATCGCACCAGCTCCTAGTACAGCGGGCGCGAACGAATCCAGGACAGCGCTGACGACGGAGGCGGTACCTGCCTTGCCGGTATAGGGCGGGCAGCGGCTACAGCGCCGGTAAACATAACTGGTCCCACGAGATGCTTGTATTTTGAGCGCGAATATGTATATGGCTTGGCTGGAGCGGTCCATTGGGGTAATGCTGCTCTGGGAGCTATTATTTGAACGATGGAGAGACGCTGTTCCTTACTTCTAATACCACTTGGAGTCGGCGTTTATAGGATTCTTTCAGCCTGCCCTTGGTTTAGTTTTTATTTTCTAATGTGCTTCTTTATATTCCAGTTCCTGTAATGTCTCACATCTGTCCTTGCTTGGGATACAATATGGTGGATGGCCAACTTGTTGAGGTAGTTAACCACGGCCAACACTGTCAGCCGACGAGCTAATGCCAACGCCCTGGCCACCGAACAATGTCACGCGGCAGATTTGCAGTTCTTTTTATGTCGCTTTCCCCCACGAGTAGCTGATAATTTTAATCAATTGAAAAAAGAGTTCCTGTCTGTTGTGATATATGCCGAGGAGTCAAGTCTTCCTTCGGCATAGTGGCTCCGAGTAGTCCCACCAACTTGACCGCCGGCTCACAGTACGGGTGAATTGGCAGGATAATAGACTAACCGTTCCTCACCGATATGCCTCCTCCATATGCAGTGCATAAGCCATGACATTTCAATCAACGTCTCACTAATTTGAGTACAGAGAGGCGCTTTTTTCAGACATTTAAGCACAGAGAATCAGGACAACGGAAACGTCCGAGTGGCAGATGTGCGTCTGGCTCCCGCCCGGACTCGTACCGTTGTCCCACTCGATCGCCGGGCAGTCGGCGTCGTCGCTGGCGAGGCGCAGCTTCTTGCCGGCAAAGGAGTCACCGAAGACGTCGCTGAGGTCGTACCAGATGTTGGTCTGCTGCAGGCTGTACGCGAAGTTTGTCTGGGGCCTGCCGGTGTAGAGCCCGTCACGATCGCGGGTGACCTTGAGCGTACGGCCCCCAGTCTTCGGGTCGACGGCGAAGGGCTCCTGGTAGGCGTCGCCTTGCCTTAAGGTGTGCCCGTTTGACACGTCTTTGCCAACGGACCACAGAGTGACCTCGAAGTCGCACTGGTTAGTGACCTTGGCGAAGCCTTCGGCGGAGGCGACGGCGGCGAGGCCGGAGACCGTGAGGAGACTCAGTTGATTGAACATGGCAGATAACAAGCGAGAAGGTGTGTGAGCGTATAGCGGTGTGTGGGTGGTTGTGTAAGTGGTGATGCTGATAATCAAGGTTCAAATGGAAGGGGGAAACGTAGGATATTTATAGTAGGTCCTGGTATAAGAAGCGACAATTCTCTCCAGCAATAATGCAGCTCCTCGCCAATCTGTACAATCAAAACCTGCTTAGCTTTGGAATGCAGCCCAGTGACGTCGATGTTCCAGCTGGCTGCATCACCACCCCGCGATTCTTACGAGTCTCGGGGTCTTATTAGCTGGCTAATAACCGGATCCAGTTATGTAGCAGTACCCATAACCCAATACAGCCGTACAGGGCCTTATGGGAGCCTCCGTGGGTACATCAGTCCTCACGAAACCATGAATGGGCTAACTGTGAGGAAAGCTGGCATCAGTCCATTTTTTTGTTTATTCCGGGTTCTTGCGGAGCATCTTCCATCCGTCAAGGCTGCCCGACAATACAGGCTCGTGACTCTGGTTCTTGGCTGCCGCTCTGATGTCTTGGACGGAAGCGTTGGTACAACGAGAAGCGGCATTATTTTCTTCCTCCTTCATTCATTGAACCCCCTTCATTCGTCGGAGAAGGTGGTTCGGGTAAGTGCAAAGCAGTAACCCCCCCCCCATCTCTTTCTGTTCTTCAATCCGTGATACGAACGGACTGTAGTCACCTAGGCCATAGCGTGGCGCCCCTATCAAGCCAAGACCTGCATCGGTATTGCGACCCAAGAGGGCTGAAGATAGTATTCGACCGAACAAGAGTCTCGGCTAACGTCAATCAAGTTCGACAAGTTCTTACCGTCGCCTCAAACGAGACTGATAATATCCCGCCCGGCCGTCTGGTGTACGAATAGTGGCCGCCAGTCTCATGAGCCAATTTCCATGCCAATAAGCTTCGTTTGCAAGACTGTGATGGATCGCGGCAGCGCTAGCTCAGGTCGCTGGCCCTATCGCTAGTTAGCCCGTACTACAAATAATTGTTCGCAGTTTCCAGTCGGGTCCGGTTGACGACATAGTGTTGTGGAGAGCCAGTCTGGCCTTGAGACGATGTTAGGTACCATAGCATCGAGCCGGATTCTTAAAGCGGCATCATGGTAGCGTAGCATTGATTCTTCCTTTCTAAAGAGCCATGTAACATCGTATCAGCAGCCGTCAATGTTGCTTCCTGAATCAACCCAACTTATGCTGAAAACTTACTTCTCAATACCATTTCTCCACGCGCCAATGAAGTACGCAACCCATCGCAGCAGAGCGCTCGTGGATATTTTTGACACGGCGCGGCCCAACTCCAGCTAGAAGGATTTGAATGGCTAATATTTCATTCCATGTATCCAAATTTCATATTGAAATCAGTTCGTGCGAGTTCATCTAGCAATACACCTCCAGTTTCCACCCCAGATCCATACATACAATGCCCCCCCAAACTTCAAATCACCCCGTCAGCGCCGTGACTCAGAAACGCCTAACATCGAGCACCCTTTATCCATAACGCTATGTTTCAACATTGTCGTCTCCTCTCTGGTCTAGTTTTCGTTTTCCCGGGGACGGTGCCGGCATGTCCACATCTTCCATATCATTGTCGTTATCCGAGCACTCTATAATCTCCCACTCAACGCGCACCTGGCCGTCCTGTGAGCTGTGGCGTAGCTTGCCGAGCCGGGTGCCGTCGACAAGCTCTTCGAACCAGGGCACGCCAAACGACTCCCGAAACATGACCGTGGCCTCGGCCGGTGGTTCTTCCGGCGGCTTGTGCCCCGCAACGTTCTCCTCTTGTGGGGTGTCATCATCAGAATCAGTATCGTCAGGTATTAGGCCGAGGGACTGCAGGTCGTGCAGGTCTTCGCTCAAGAGGCTTCCCAGGGTCAAGTAGATGTACTCGGCCTCCGCGGCCGGGCTCTCGGACCAGTAGGACAGCTGGGTGCCGCAGTAGCCGCAAAAGTATCGTATGCAGTCTTGCTGATGAGGGTGCACGTAGGATCGTCGGATCGTCGCGTGCGTCTCGTCGTCGCAGTAGGCGTAGGTTGCGCTCCTGTACCAGGTCAAAGGGACTCTGATATAGGCGGCCAGCGGCGTAGCGAGGGAAGCTTCTGAGCAGAGTGGTAAGCACCGAATCAAACATTCGCCAAAAAACCATCAGAGGTCACGCCGTAAGCATCATCTGAGTTTGTGACGTACGATGAGAAGCATTTGTGTTAAAGAGCACCTGCGCCTCTTGGAGGGCGTCCTCGGGAACGTGGATCAGGTACCGATTGCGGCCACATTGGCAGGCTCCGCGCAACGGACGCATCAAGCTCATGGTTTGTGTTGCAGATCCGGAATACGACAGCGGCTTCGGCTGATGATGACAGATTTGGGTGCGTTGTTGATTGACAATGGAGGACGTGCTACTTAAGTGGCGTGGTTGGGGGGAAAGAGGGGCAACGCAGCTGTTGCTAGATTCAGATTGTGTGACGAAACCGACGGAAACTCACTAGGAGTGAAGGAAGGTGAAGGGAGAGGTGAGTACGATCACGCATGAAGAGGATGTAATGAATAAAATATTAAGGCTGGATGTTTTATTAATTCGTTCATTTGTCTGACTTGTATTCAGTCAAGGTAGTCATGCTGAGAGAGCGCCGCTCTTGTGTAATGGCGCGTAGCTTATAAAACGAACTCCTGCTGTTTTACTCTTTACACCACATGTAATTAAAACATTGATAAATCAGCACTATTAGTTTACAGGGCAAACCGCATAGTAACCTGTACCATTACTAATGTCATAGTTATGCTGCCGTTCCATTCAGCTAGCAACTACTTCTTACGGCCTGTCCCAGTAGTTTGTGGCGGTTACTTCCATTCACAATGACGTGAGCCGTGCATCATCTTTAAACGAGGTATTAATCGTAGATCCAAGAATATCATGAGTCTCTATTTAATTTTCTGCATCTTCTTGCTTCAACATTTTGTATGCTATTCATGTCCGCGACCGACAGGCCTGCTCACCCGGATACGGGAAGCGGAAGAATGTGGGGCAAAGGTGCCATTAAAATCGTGCGAATAGCGCCGCAGGAACCACTAAGAGTGCTAGAAATGGCGAGCTCCCCACTGTATCCCCCTCCCGCGGGGCCGCGGCACCTGGAGGCTCAGCCCCGGCCTACCATACCGTGGATTCGTCTTCACAACCCGCGGCATCTCTTTCTCTCAAATCCCGACTCGAAGCCGAGATTCACGGCTCAGACGCTATCTATCCCTCAAACCAATAATCTCCGGTCGAGTGGGGGACTCTATATCTTATAATCCTTGCAAGCTTGCTGACGTTGTCGAGATTCTCCTCCCTTCAACTTCGCCGTTCACATCTCTCTGCCGTTTCTCCCTACCTACCGCCCTCTCACCAGCTAGGAGGTACATGCCTCGCAAGCCGCCGCCGCCATCATGTCTAGCCCTCCGTCGCGCATTCGATCCATTGTCAACCACCTGCTGCCCGCTGCGCCGCCCCCGGCGCACATCCACCACCTCTCCCCGACCTTCTTTCTGGAGCGCGCGGCCTCCATCGAGCCGCATGCTGACGCCGTCGTCCACATCACCGCCAACGGCGTTGCTCTCCGTCGCTCCTACCAGCAGACTGCCGACCGCGCCCGCGGCCTGGCCTACTACCTCAAGAAGCGCGGCCTGAAGCGCGTCGGCATCCTCGCGCCCAACACGCCCGCATTTCTTGAATCCCTCTATGGCATCGTGGCCGCTGGCGGCGTCGTCGTCCCCGCAAACTACCGCCTCAAGCCCGACGACATTGCCTACATCTTCGAGTTTGCAGAGGTAGACTCTATCATCGTGGACAGGGAGTTTGCGGACCTTCTCAGCAGCTACATATCTAAACACAGCAAGGTTCCGATAATTGTAGATGATGTAAGAAAACATACAGACATGATGAGTGTGTGTTTTGTTTAAGCTAACGCCCAGTGCTATAGGACACAGACGTTGTGAGCGGCCCTAATGCTAGCCAATACAATCAAGCCGTTATGGAAGGTCTCACCTACGACGCTGAGCAAGGCGCCAAGGGATGGTACGGGCTTCACGCACACGCAGACAATGAAGATGACATGCTCGCCATCCCATTCACCTCGGGCACGACGTCCAAGCCTAAAGGCGTCGTTTACACTCACCGCGGCGCCTATCTTGCAGCAGTTGCAAACATTATCGAGTCTGGTCTGAATCACGGCCGCTGCAGATATCTTTGGACCTTGCCCATGTATGTCGGTTGTTGGTTACACAGCATTCAAGGCCAGTTGGCGCGAGCTAACCCGAAACTAGGTTTCATGCATGCGGATGGACGTTCCCGTGGTCCATTGTCGCGGTGCGGGGTGTAAACGTCTGTTTGCGCAGGATTGATTATCCCACCATTTGGCGCCTACTCAAGGATGAGGGCGTCACTCACTTCAACGCCGCCCCGACTGTTAACACGTTGCTTGTTACTGCCAAGGAGGCTGTCAAGCTTCCGCATCTAGTTCGAGTGACTGTTGCAGCGAGTCCGCCCACTGGCCACTTGTTTGAGCAAATGGTACGCTTCAATTTGGAATTGGACTTCATATAAAGTCGTTTGGTTGACTAACCGGCTGCATATAGACTAACCTCAATCTCATGCCCGTACATGTTTACGGCATGACGGGTAAGTGTCACATGCCTCTCCCCTTGTCTCTATCCTATTGACGCAGCCAGAAACATATGGTCCTATAACAAAATGCTATCCTATGCCTGAATGGGACAGTCTCCCTCCGGCCGAAAAGTACGCTAAGATGGCCCGTCAAGGCCACGGCTTCATCACCAGCCTGCCGATCCGCGTTATCAAGCCCGACCAACCCGACGACTTGCTCATCGATGTGGCCAAGGACGGCAAGGAGATTGGCGAGATCGTTTTCTTTGGCAACATCTGCGCCAAGGAATACTACAAGGACGCGGCGGCGACGCGGAAGCTGTTCGCCGGCGGCGCGCTGCACTCGGGCGACCTCGCGGTGTGGCACCCGGACGGCAGCGCGCAGATCCTGGACCGTGCTAAGGACATCATCATTTCGGGCGGCGAGAACATCTCGTCGGTCGCGCTGGAGGGCATGCTGGTGCAGCACCCGGACGTGCTCGAGTGCGGCGTCGTGGCGGTACCGAGCGAGCAATGGGGCGAGGTGCCTAAGGCGTACATCACAGTAAAGGAGGGCAGGGAGGCGATTCGGGCTGCGGACCTGATCGCCTGGGCGAGGAGCAACAGCGCGATAAGCAGGTTCATGGTGCCCAAGGAGGTCGAGGTCGTGGCGGAGCTGCCGAAGACGAGCACGGGTAAGATCAAGAAGAATGATTTGCGCGATTGGGCCAAGAATGGCCGCAAGTCTGCTTAGATGGCGGGCAGGTGGTGTATACTCATTTTTGCGGCTTCATTGCTTTTTAACGCTGCTAGTGGTGTAATAGATAGATGAGTTAAAATACAGTTGACGTGGAGACCACGTATTGTGAAGGGCTACAAGCAGCCGCCAGGCTAGCCTTTGACAGGCAGTAGATACCTGTAGCTATCTAGTACATTTACATAGTTCCCCAATCTGCCATACTGGTACCAGGTACCTGACACTGGCGTCCCGTGACCAATCGCAGGTATAGCGCCGATTGAAGCTCCTGCCAGGTACGTATATAGCAAAGATTGAGACGATTCATCACACAAGCTGTGCAAACTTTATCCCGCTCGTTTCATTGTCCTAAACATGCTTGAAGGCAAGCACAGCTTCATTTCAAGTCAGAAATAAGCAATTCACAACCTTCGTTAAAGTATGCTTCTCGCCCTTGACTCGCCCTTTTTCCCCTCTCCACCTCGCATACGACTTCTGACGCAGCTCTGTGACAAAGCTGCGCCGACCGGCCTGCCACTTTGTGTCGCGTAAGTGCGTGGGCGTCCACGCCAGCGTCAACATCCACCCGGTGACCTCGCTAATCTTCCGACCATCACACCACGGCTATTTGTTCTCTCTCAACAGGAAAAGCTAGCCGTGGGGAGCGGTCTATTCAAAGGCGCATGCCATCGACGTTCCGCACCGACATACTCTGTGGCCCTCCACGACCCTCCGCCCCCATTAGTAGCCACCAACTCCCCGTCTCTACGTCCGCGATGGCTTCTGCCAACCCCGATCAAGCAGTCTCCAGCAAGCCGGTCGCCGTCCGGGTTGACTCACAGGACGCGCCATCGCAGAGCCGCAGGGTGAGCGCCGGCATGCCGCAGCCGAGACGCGCCCATACCTTCCAGAACGACAGAGCCGCCCATAGCCATCCGCTGGATGCCTTTGAGGCATCACAGGACGCCGACGAGCACGGCGAGGCCGCTGACTATGGCCGAAGCTCCGTTGATCTCGACGAGCTGCCCATTGAGCTCGTCACCTTGACAGACAGGTACAACGACGCTCCGCCCCTTCACCCAGAGCTGACGAACCACGTTGCTAACGAACAACACGGCCTGCCCTGTAGCTTTATCGAATCACTGAGCGCCAAGGTCCATTCGACGCCGCCCAAAATACACAAGATGTCTCAGCTCTTCCAGGACTTTTACGCCCTGGCCTCCTCCCACATCCAGACGCACATCAGTGCCCTCGCGACGAGGCAGCGTCGCGGCCCGTCGCCGAACCCCTCGTCCTCGTCCTCCCTCGCCTCCGCCGCCAGTCGCCTCCGCGCCCGAACCACCTCCTCGCTTAAGTCTAAGGACAGTAATATGAAATTACTGGACACGGAGCAGCAAATGATCACTGCGGAGGAGCTCGCAGACAGGAAAAAGGCCCGCAGGGCGCTCGAAGCCAAGAAGGGCTTGATGGAGGAGGCCGTGGAGCGGCGTCTCTGCGAGGCCGTCTACGACCGGATATACCGGCACCGCAGCACTCAGGACGAGGCGCAGGATGACAAGCTGCGTTCCAAAACGGCCGCGCTGGCGCTGGTCAACATTGGCCTGGCGGACCTCGGCGTTGATCTCGGGCAAGACGACGACCACGACGACGACGGCGACCGCGACAAGGACGACGGGGGTCCGACATTTCACGGTGGGGAGATTCACGAGTCGCTGGCGCCCGCGCGCAGGGAGCTCATCGCCATGAACGACTCGCACTACCCGCTAGGCAAGATCAACCACCTTCGGGCCGTGCATCGGAGTATCGTCGACACGCTCTCGCGCTTCCACCCGTCCGCGTCCGCCGACGAGATCATGCCCGTGCTTATTTACACCCTCATCACGCTCGCCCCTGAGCACCTACACGCCATCAGCAACCTCCGCTTCGTGCAGCATTTTCGCTGGGAGCCCAAGCTCACTGGCGAGGCGGCCTACTGCCTGACCAACTTCGAGGCCGCCATCAGCTTCCTCGAGACGGTCGACCTCTCCACCCTCCGCAACGACGAGCACCCCTCCGGCCCGCCCAAGGGCACCACCACCGCCGCAGCCGAGGCCACTAAGCCGGATACCTTCCCTCCAGCCTATATCCAAGGGGACAGTTCCGCCTCCGCCGCCTCCACCGAAACAAGCACGGAGACCGTCATGGCTGCCGAGCCTACAGCCACCTCCTCCGCCTCATCCTCGTTACCCGGCGGTGGGCTCACGGCGGCGGCGGTGCTGCGTAATCGACGCCTTAGCGGCCTTGTCAACACGCCAGCGCAAGCGTTTGGCGCTGCCAGCGGTGCCGTGTTCAGCACCGCCGACCAAGGCCTCAAGACCATCTCCAGCAGCCTAGGCGAGAGCTACTCGTTCCTCATCGGCAAGTTGCGCCAGCAGCAAAAGGCCACCGGCGGCCACGGTGGTGCCGCCGAGGCCGTCACAGTGCCGCGCACACTCGACGAGGCCCGGAAGCTCGTCAGCACGCCGCCCCTCCTCGGCGACGACGAGGACGAAGACGAAGATGAAACCGCAAGCCTGCAGAGCAGCAGTCCCGCGGCAGCAGAGAACGGCCCCAAGCCCGCGCGCCGTGACTCTGTCCTCGCACTCATCGGCGGCGGGCGCGAGCCCAGCGCCGACAGCCGCCGAAGCCGCCGCAGCGCAAGCTCCCTGAAAAGGGTGGAACTCGCCGGGAGCAGTAGACGCACGCCGACACCGCCGCCGCCCGCCGCGAGCACCACGACGGTAGCCGGCGCCGCGCAGCAGCAGGGCGCCGCCATGCTAGACCAGGTGCGCAGCCTTGGCAGCAGCTTCAACCCCATGGCGCGCCTGCCGAGCATGGCCGGCTTTCGAGGCTTCGGTCGCGCCTCCGCGACCTCTACTACGCCGCCTGTCGGAGGGGTGACGTCAATCAAGGACGGCAGTGGTAACAGCAAATCGGAAGACGGATGTGACTTGAGCGCAGTAAGTATCCCCACCACACACACATGCGCATCTCACACGGAGCCTCTTCTAACACCCTACTCTTCCCCGGCAGGCGTTCCCGGACCTGGCGGCCGCCCAGCCGCCCAAGCAGACCCCCCGCATTGCCCCACCGAACCGGCGCTTCATGGAAATTAGCACCCCGGGTGAGTTGCGGCTGGGTGAGGTGCTCGAGCTCCTGCGGGACTACAGGCGACTGGCGGCGGCGCTTAAGAACCTAGACGCATTTGAGGACAAGTAATATGCCTGCTTTAGCTTGTGGCGTTGTCAACGGACAGTAGAGAGATGGAAGTGAGATATGTACTGGGACGTTGCCAATTTTCCATCTAAAAAGGCCTCTCCGGACATGACAGCGGGAACTGATAGGCTCGGGAGTCATGGTTTTTATCATAGTATATTACATGGGGGGAGCTCTTCCTTCACCATCATGATGGCATTCCTGGTAGGCCGATGTTGACTCACCACCAAAGCGGCGTTGTTGATATAAACAAATCAATACTATGTAATTTCACAGCTGTGCTGTATTTATCGCTTCTGTCGGGGTTAGTTGCTCTCCGATGAGCCCGAGTCAGCGCCGCTTTCCGTAAAACAATGACGACAAACACCAGCAATTCCCGTCTATAAACCAAACTCGCAGACACATTTGCGCCGAACACGCGCCTGAAATCGCGCCGATGCTATACATATGCCGCGCCATAAAAATACAAAACAGATAACAGCAAAGTCTAGGGTGACAATGGGTGCGCAATTGACAAAAGGTCAAATGAAAAATCGCTATGGCCTCCAAGGAGTACGTTGAGTAGTCGGCGCGGTCTCGGCGCGCATTGGCTGCATTCGCTTGGACGATGCGCCACTAGGCAGCCTCTCCAGTTGGTCTTCTGCCTCAGCTTGTGGCTCAGTATAGGTTTGATTGCGCTCCAGAGCCAGCACACGAGACTCGTTGGATCGGCTCCGCTGTCGCGCAGGGCCGGCATCGCGTTGGACCACAGGACCAGGGTGCAAGAATTTGGCAATGATGTTCGAATCTCTGCCTCGGCTCATGCTGCGGCCGCGAGCAACGCTCGGTGATCTCTGAAGTCCAGTGGTTGTCGCTGTGGGCGCTGTGTTCATGCGGGCCAAGACTGCTTCAGATTCTTCGGCTTCTTTCTTCAAGCGAGCCTCGGTAGGAAGAAGTACAGCCTTATCTAGACCGTACGGCAGACCTCGATGACGACCTCGGATTTGTAGGGCAGCAATGATAAGCTTACCAACAACGGAGAACTGGCTGCAGAGAGATGCATTGATACCCGTGGCACCCATGCTCAATCCAACGGTACCATAGGCACTGACAGCCTCAAATAAGACAGGAAATACCTCAAAACGCCCGGCTTGGATTTTAGAGCCCTCTGTGATGCAGAGCAGGAAGAATCCAAGGAAAACAAACCACAAATCGAAAGAAAGCTGTCGGCGCAAGTGGGTACCGACATAGGACAGAGCGCTTGCTTCCTCTTCCGCTCCTTCATGATTGTCGTATACACCTAGAGACTTTTCCTCGTATACATTCGTTCGTCGAATAGAGATGGCAATAGGGAAGACGGAAATGTACATCATAATCATGTACAGGACAGGCATGGCAGGCTGAAGATCAGCTAAATTGACAGCCGAGAAGCCTGCAGTCCTTGTTGAGGCAGCTTGGAACAGGCCGACGACAACTCTGTTGTGTAGAGGAAGATAGCTAATGGGTTCCTTGCCCAAATCCAAGACGATGAAGAAAAGTAAATCAACGGCGTTGAGCGTGATGAGAATCCAAAACAGCCACCAGGTTGGACCTGAAGGGAAAAGAAGTGTGAAGCATCGACGGGGATGGTCCAGGAGGAACTTGAGCTCCTCCCAAAGGCCCGAGTGTTTGGGGATGATCTTTGTCAGCGTCCAGATGATGAAGCGCAGCATGACCGGAAAGCCAGTATTTCCGAGAATGATCAGAAAACACGAGATCATCAAAACATACTCAGACCGAACGAAGGAAATCATGCTATCGGGCGTCAACGTAAAGCCAACGTCCATGAAGCTAACATTCGGCGTAAAGAAGCCCCACCATATTCTGGAGATACCAGCATCTTCGACAATTTTGCCATAGTGCTCATTGTGCATGATAAATGGCAAAAGTGTAACAAGCCCGAAAATCTGGAAGCCCCAAAAGTAGCCAAGAAGAACAAAAGCAAGCGTTCGCAAGGAGCGATACTCAATTCCACCAAGCTCCTCCCGTTGCTCAAGAGTAAGGCCGACGAAATTTGAGTTCCTGGCCATGGTAGGGGTGTAACTGAGATATGGCATGTCTTCGACCTTGGCGGAATCACGATTAAGAGCAGATCGAATGCGTTCTAGGGTCCAAGTTCGTGTAGGTCTGGGCGGCTGATCTGGATCCTCCTCATGATGCGGGGTTTGTCCACTTTTATTGAAGAGACGTGGTTTTCGGAAACGAAAAGCACTGAGAGTGCCAGTCAATGCCTTGGCATCATCTGATACGTCTCTACGTGGTCGGTCCGGCTCTGCAATAGTAACGGTTGGTTGGCGGCCACGAATGCCCTGATACGGGCCTTCAGACTGTGGCCCCGCGCCAGGATTGCTGGCGATGCGAGACATCCGAGGACCGAGTGCCTCGTCGCGTTCGAATTCCCCTAAGCGGGTGGGAACCTGCCCTCGCTCGATGTCACGGGGGCCTGGAATGCGAAGGACCTCATTGTCGTCTTCATTGCGCTGGCGTTCTAGGATGGCAATATGCTGTGCATTTGAGCGTCTCTGAGCAAACTCGATGGCATTTTCTTCAAGCCCATCGCTTCGTTTGACAGTATCGGCAAAAGTAATAGCGGTAGGACCGTGCGTGTGTTCTCCCACGCTATCGGCACGAGCATGCAATCCGACAACCGGGGTGGCAGTACCGTGAGTGGATGGTATCCCATCATCACTATCTTGGGTATGTTGGGAGTTGCCGGGCGTAGCGGTAGATGGGCTATCTGTTGCAGAGGCGGTGGTATCACTGTCCAGATTGGCACGGGCCAGCGAACCTAGAGGCGCAGTGTTGGTATTGTCGAGGAGAATACCGTCGTTGGTAATTCGCTGAGATGTGCCGTTGGCCGGGACGACTGTAATATGACGCCCATTGACGCCTGCCTCAGCCCGGTGCGTCTCGCTGACAGCTTGGGAGTTGGACCTGGTCAAGTTGGGACGCCGGCTGCGAACCTCGCGCACCCATCCTTGAAAACGCTTTTCGAACCAGTAGATGCGCAGAATAACGACAGATCCATGAAGTGTAATTGGGTTGGACAGCATGACGAGAACGTATATAACGACTTGTTGGAAGGTGGTAAGAAGGTTCACGTCGACCGGGTTCAGGCCGGCCTGAGTGTTTGCGCCGCTGGCAAAAAGTAGGGCATCGATATATGCCAGATGGCCAGTGCCGCCAGCGTAGATGCATATAGAGCCAACTATCGTAGCGCCAACGATCCAAAAGTAGTGCGCGGTGATGAAGTTGAAATGAGGGTTCTTGGACACAAATGCGGGCTTGATGGCCTTTAGCTGTGCCCAAACATTGCTGCGGAAGTTGCCCAGCATGATGGTGCTAGTAAAGAATATCCAGTGAAGAATGAAAGGTAGTGTTCGTTGATAATTTTAGATGAAGCAAGTTGCCCAAGTGATGAAACGTATCAGTAACGTTTAAGCCAGAGTCCAGCCAAGGAACAAAGAGTGAGGGCAAAGGCAAAAATCATGATTGGTATGAAAGAAAAAAAAGAATATGAAGACGTAGTCAATGGCGCAGGGCTGACCACGTCCTTGGAAGCGACGTTTGTAGACTTGGCTGTGACAGGTAAAAAAAAAAAAAAGTGGTAGCTCCGCCAACGGGCGACGCTGACGAGGTTAAATAGGCGAAATCGAAAGCCTAACGCCACAGAAGCACAATATCAGATAACGTGAATGTGAAATGATTCTGGCAATTTCGTCGCTGGAGTTGGTGTTGATACCCAAGCAGTCCTCGGTTCTGTTGCTCAGGGCGTCGTGCCTGGCGCCGAAAATAAAAAATATTTAAAAAAAAAAAATTAGAAAGAAAGAACCTTGCAGAGCAGGCAAGGATTGGATTGTCGAATGGACGGCTTGCAACGCCGGCACGTTTTCCGGGAGAGTGGTAGCACAATAGGTAGCTCCAGGTATATGCTGGGATGCTCGCGGAAAAGGGCGATTGGTATTCGAGTTCGAGTCTCAGGTCGGGTAGGAAAAAGGAGCGATTACTGGCCAAGAATGATTTGGCTCGAGGTGTCGTCGGACTTGACAGGGCAAAGGAAAGGCCTGTGGCGGACAAGGCGGGCAGTGCAGAAGCTTTCGCTTCTTGGCGAAAATTGGTTGCGTCGCACTTTCAGTACCTACGTAGGCGCAGGTTTTTGGGGCAGGTGATCGGAAGACGCGGTTGTGGATAGGGAAGTAGCCAACGGCAAAGACTCGAGAAGATAAAAATAAAGTATGTATGAGACAAGGTCGGCGCGCCTGAGAGATCGGGTTCGTGAAGCCGGGAGCGGGAGGAGTTGTTGTGTGACGGAGGCTGGTGCGAATAGCAGCCAGCGATAGCGCCGCTTGCAAGGATGGCAATATGGATGCGCAATCGAGGGTTGCGGTGCCGTCGAGGGGGCTGCACGGGTTGCCCTTAGTGGTGCAATGACCGTTTTTTTTCTTCTTCTTCTTTTGCAGGGATCGCTCCGCGCGGGCGCACACAAAGGGTCCAAGACCCTGTGGTCGAGATTAAGCGTCGCACACGCTGGGTGGTGCAAGATTGGAGAAGAACAGTCAAACTGGCAACTGGAACAGAAACAGATGTTGTGTCTGTTGGATCTGGACGGCTGGGCGGAAGAAGGTGGCAGCGGAGCCGTCAATGCACAAGGAGGGGACAGGGTGAGACAAGGTAAGACGGAAGGCGGGAGAGCAATAAGAAAGACAGGGAGAGGAGAGGAGAGGATAAGAAATAAAATGGTAAGATATAGGCGAGGATAAAGCTGGTGCGGGTAGAGACCGAAGCAACCGTAATGCCCCTTGGGAGAGATGGCAAACGGATCAAGGTGGAAGAAGAAGCGTTTGGGCGAATCGTGATCCGTCCTATCTATGTATGTATGTACCTGCTAAGCTACATAGCTGGGCAAAGGCGCCAACTAGCTGGCTAGACCAATGACGGTAAGGCCAACGGTGAGAGGCATACCTAGTGGCGCAGGTACTGATGTAGGACGTATGTACACGGGTACTTACAGTAGGCAGACAAAAACGATGGGCAGTCTTTAGCGCTCGTTACGAGGTATTGGCTGCACAGTGGCGTATGTACCTACCTCCTAACTAGAGGTACCTACAAGCCTAGGTACTACCTAGGTAATAGGTTTCGTCTACCTGTAATCTGCACTCTATACTTATTAAGGGGCCTATCTTAAGTAAAGTATAGGTTATATACCTTAATAGATTATATAAACACCTTATTATCTCCTTATCTACCTACTTCTTCTAACTTTAGATCTTCTCTATAATTAAGTATATTTACTTTACTATTTTCTAATCCTTTTTAATATATAATCTTAAAGTTATAGTCTATAAGGTTTTTATACTATCTAATTTATTATTTATTTAAATCCTTTATTATTAAGAATAATATAAAGTTCTTATAGTTAATATATACTTTAATCCTATAATTTACTCTAATAAAATAGTATCTTTATTTTTTAAAATACTAAATAATAACTATAAGTTCTTTATTATAAATTCTATAGTTTAATTTAAATCTATAGAGTTTTTATAAAAATAATATAATTAAGTATAGTCTTTTTTACTTATTTTATTATTCTAATTATTTACTAAATACTTAATTAAAAGTATTAGTTTTAATTTTATAAGACTTTTTTAAATTAAGTATTTTTATAATTAGTTCTTTTATAATTAAGTCTTTAATTTTTTAAAATACTTTAATTTTAGTTTCTTTTTATTTAAACTTAGTTTTATTTTTTATTTAGTTTATAAAAGGTTATATTATATTATTATATTCTAT